TATGGCAAGCCTCCGCTCCTCTTTAATCCACCAATGACATGCTTCTCTTACAAAGAGAAAGAGATTACACCCACACCTAGAACTTTCTACCGTACGTAACCATCAACTCGATTCACCAATGCCATTTTAAATGATTCTCGCCATCACCGTGTCACGTGATCACGCTGCTATGTTGCACCGTAACGCATCGTTTCTACACATTACAGTCGGCAGGGAAGTTCATCTTTTTATCTTCGATGAAAACGGTCTGTCCTGTTGTTTGCTGCGTCACGTACGCAGTTAAACGTCCGCACTTATCTTATCGCGGCAGAGGATTTTGGTTTACGAGCGATCTATGGTCGACCTATTTTTGTGAAAAAAAAACGCTGTACTCCAACCAAAGGCTGTGACCGTCTATGTGGGAAAAAAAACGCTGTACTCCAACCAAAGGATTGAAAGTACTTCAAATCTGAAATGCTGGGTGGAAAATATATACATATATTTATATATACTTATATAAATATATACATAAATATATATTTGAGTGGTTTTGGTGGCGGTCATGGAGACTGCTGCCCCCGCGACCTGGTAACGGATAAGTGGATGAAAATGGATGGATGGATATATATTTGATAAACACCAAGTCTTTCTGTGACACCTCCAAATCATGTCACGTCTCCCTCTCTCCAAATCATACATGATTCTTATCTGCTGTGATGACTCCAGAACAGTGAACTATTGCGCGGGGATTACAAGTGCGGAGCGGATCGCCAGAACGTTGGTGAAAACGATGGTGACGGCGATGCGCGTGACTGCGAGTTATGAAAAGAAGTGATACGCTAAGTGGGGGAGGAGAGTTGTGGTGATGATGACTGGTGTCAGCGGGGGGGGGGGGGGGGGGGGGGGGGTGAGTGTGTGTACGTTTGTGAAAGAGAGAGAGAGCAGTTATCCTCTCTGTTTCCTCGGCACCAGCTTTGTGGTTTCTATGAGGAACAGATGTTCTGACTTGATACAGTGCCTCATCCCCCTTAACTCACTATCTTCAATGCCAGCACCACCAACTGTCTGCACACGCACACGCACACACAAACAGACACACACACACTCGGCCTGGAGGTGTGAATGCAGACGTCCATTTTTACCTGCCTACTCATGACTTTCTTACTGTCCGTTTCCCCTCTGTGCTCTGGCTGCACATCCTGTTCTTGAGTCAACACTTGATGTAATCAGGTGGCACTTCCTCTTCTGACAGTTTGCACTTCTGTTGGTCAGCTGTGATGCTGCCTGCCTGCACTCTGCAAACCAGGTCATTCAAGTCTACGCACACACTCACAATATTTCCAGGCCAAACTTCGTATGTTCAGTGAGTTTGAACCATGTGACCATACAGGGGGTGCACATGGGATTTTAATGTAATCTTTAAAGTTATGGGTTTTTTTTATAAGACTGATACATTATTATTTCAACCTTGAACCCTGTCTTTATGTTGCTGGGGCTTCCTTGGAAGTTTGGGACTGCAGCTTTTTGTCGACCAATCAACTGTCTGGAGACTCATAGCAGTTGATTAAATAAGTTAAGTCAGGTGTGCTGCCGCTTGGTTGGGACAAAAACCTGCAGCCACAGCTGCCCTCTGTGGACCCAACTGCCCACCCCTGGTCTAGAGTACAGATTTGGACTAAACTATGAACAGTTTCAGTTGAAGTGAACAAAATCGGAGTCTTTTGCTGTGATGAATTATTGATGAATAACATGGCATTTGAAGCACTTTTCTTGTTCTGCAGTGTTATCCTTAACAACCTTATATCCCTCTGACTCCATTATATCTTTTTTAGTCAGACAAAGTGAATCGAGAGCCACCTCAGGAGACGCACTCCGAGCGATCACCAGGAACAGAAAGTTCTATTTTCTAAAGAGAAGAGAATGTAGGAAACTGTTACTGCTGTTGACGAAGCCTTACTGTTAAGACATTTGCGATTCTTCAGTACAGACAATAAAAATAATAATAAAAAAGGAAGAATGTGACCACAATGCAAATCATGTTGCACATCCCGGCTCTTGAGAAAATAAAAAAAGGTGTTAAGTTACCAAACACACGACCGCGATGCAAATCATGTTGCACGACACATCCCGGCTCTTGAGAAAAAAAAAAAAAGGTGTTAAGTTACCAAACACATTTTTTTAAATATGTCTCAAAAGGAAATTACTCAACAGGACCATTTTTATAGCAACACTTAAATCCTTGTTAGCTTTACTAAACAAGGATTACTAAAAGTAAATCTAAAGTGACGGTCATCCATTGTTTTTCCATTTTGATTCTCGGAGATGTTCCCTTTCACCTTTCATGCCTGCGCTGGTGTCTTTTATTGCACTGCGTTGTCTGTTCTTCGCACATGGGCGAGTAAAGGACGGGAGAATTGAGAAGAGCGCGGGGACACAATGGCTCTAACATTCCATTCAGCAGACTCAGGGCCTTATCTCCTTTCAACACACTAGCCTCTGACTGTCACTGTAGGAAAGGATTTACATTGTGCGGAGAGGAAATGCTGCAAACTTTTGCTCTTGGCTTTACTTTTACCGCCACGTGCACGGAGGAGACGTCCCATACAGTGAGAGCTCAGGCCCAGTTGACAGGAATTGTTGTCAACAAAAGGGCCCGGCGCAGGAGCGGGGCTGCGGCCGACCACACAACCTGACAGTAGACAAAACACGACGACGAGACAAAGCTGTATCGTTAATTCCATCGCCGTGGCTTCAAGTCAAAGTATTATGGCACGTGGAGTTCATCGAGGCCACTTGGTGTCTATTCAGTGTTTTGTTGTGCAGTTTATCAGACCGGCCACATGGAGTGTCTGTACTAACCCAGTGACCGCGCAACAAAAGGCCAAATTAAGAGGAGTGAGAGGCTGTTGTACAGGGAGGCTGACAGGTTGACTGACGCTGTTCCCGAGGAGAATAGCTCGCTGTCAATCTCGAGACTGTCACCTTGACAGGAATCCTTTCTTTGGATGCAACCCCCATCGTCAACCTTTCTGTCACTCAAGGCCACACGCACACATGCACACACGCACGCTCACACACACGCACGATTCCTCTCTTTTCAGTATTCTGTGCGGGGAAACAAATAAGCCACCTATGCAGTCACGCACTCGCAAACGCACAAAACACACAATGTTTCTGATTTCCAGAGCCAAGAAGAGCCATATGTCTTAGGAAGTGAGAAAGAATGAAGTCAGTGAATTTCATTAACACCGCATCCATCTCCCTGACAACTGCACTTCCATCACAGGTCACCGCGAAAATAGAGCCGGGAATAGAGCGTCCAATAAACAGTGATTACAGGAAATAGGCGCAGTGCAGCTATCCAGCTGTTAAAGAAAGGCTAAATCACCATAGACTTTAGACACTAATATGGTACAAGTCTAGATCTATAACAGGGGTGTCAAACTCATTTCCACCAGGGGGCCACATCAGCAGTACAGTTCCCCTTAAAGGGCCGGTTGTAAATGGAAGACTGTATAGATCGGGGGTGCCCAACACCTGGTCCGCGGACCAGTACCAGTCCATAGGTCATTTGGTACCGGGCTGTCATATCCATTTACTTTCTTTATTTATAAGATAATCTGCCAGTATTTTAAAATAATAGGTCATTTAGACTGATACAAACAGAATAGAGTCTAAAAGATGTTTTATTTTGATATTTGAATGATCCTTCAATGCTCAGCGCCTTGGTACCGGTCTGTAGTAACAGGTGGTACTGACTGACCAGTCCTTGGAACAACAAAGGTCAGGGACCGCTGGTATAGATGTAACTACTACATAACAGACTAATACATGTTTCTGCAATTGATTATTATTTGATTGATAATAAAAACTTTTTAATTTCTCAGGTTAACAAACTCTGCTGCATGGACTTTACTAAATGCTTTTTAAGCTCCCGCAGGCCACACAACACGGCTTGACGGGCCGCATTTGGACCCCGGGCCTTAAGTTTGACACGTATGATCTATAACATCAGTGTGGGAGTGCTGATAATATCATTATGAATTTTTCATGTGTAGTAAAAATGAGATCATATTGGGCCATACAGCCACATACCTCAGCGTATAATGTATACATAAAGTATTCAGTTTATGTGAGTGAACGTGTATTTAACGTCAATCACACGGTGTCCACTGCCAAATATATGTATATACTGTAGATGTACAGGATTCTGCCTAATCCTCCATGAATAGCGTCACGTCCAGAACCGCTGTATAAAAATGCTAAATAAGCGTTTCTCAGTGTTTGCAGCTTCCTGTTTGCGTTCACGTTTTTGTATAAGTTTCCGCAGGAAAACTTAACGGCACACGAAAGCTTCACTTTACAAAGTCATGCAGGTCTAAACTCTGATTAAAAAACCAGCTAGGTACTTTTACACCTGCAGAGCTGTCCATCATATTTAATCAGTTTGGTGGCCTTTTCGAAAAGTTCTCACCCACTTTTCTAAAGAGGGTATGTGTGTGAGTGTGTGTGTGTGTGAGTGTGTGCGGCCAGAGAGGCTGTGCAGAGTGCAGTCAGGGCAAAGCAGCTGTCTGTGTGTACATTACGAGCTGGTTCTGTTTGTTCTGTAGACACAGGAGGGGTCAGGAGTGTGTCAGCTTTGTCTGCTGCCCCCCTGCGTGTGTGCATGTGTGTGTGTGTGTGTGTGTGTTTGTGCCAGGGAGGGTGGAAAGACCAGTGCAGACAGGTGGAAGATTCTCACTATATATAAACCAAATGCACCTGCCTCTTTTAGTACGATTCTTTGCAGTCCTATCTCCAATCAGTCAATTAGAAGATTATTTTGTTTATGTTACGTTAGTAGAGTCAGTTTGATTCACATAATATAACAGTAACAGGAGGAGTAGTTGACACATTCAAAGAAATGTATATGTTTTATGCAAAAATAACGCTAAGAACTTTGGATATTAAATAATCATAATAATAAAAAAAATAATATGAAAATATTATGAAAAATAATATAAAACACAAAATCGGAATATGATGTAGTTTTTAATACATTTTTTAAATATTATAAATGCTCAATTATTAAATTATTGTTATTTAGTTATATAATCTGTGTTTCACATTATTAGTATTGAAAAGTAGTATTTTGCACATATTTTCTGTGTTGCCATTGAAATAAAATGCAATATTATTTGATTTGGAAAGCATTACAAATAACATGTGTTCAACAAACTATGTCGTCAGGAATTTAGCAGTCAGTTTTTCCTCCTCCTGTGAACGTTAATGTAGTTTTTTTCAAAATAAGAATTTAAAAATAATATTAGTATTAAAATGGTATCTAATCGGTATGCTAACCTCACCCAGCTGGAGTTTTTCAGCTGCATCTCTTCATTCAAGTTCATATGGAATGAGCTCAGTTGGCCTTCCATTCAATCCTGTGCCCAGAGTCAGATCCAAAGCTGTGAGCTGGCTCATCATTTCTGGGACATGGAGGATTTTAAGGCAACACTACAGAAAGCTCACCATAATATTGTAGTGTTGGAGCATCAGTGCACATGTTCACTGCTAACGCTCTCAAAAATTGATATTTTCTATTGTTAACGACCCACATAAAAGTACCTGCATGTGTGTTCCTTCTGTTCAGTAACCAATGAAAAAATAGAAAATGGCCTAAATAAGAAAAATCTTTAAAATATCACTGTAAATATGACAATATGGACTAAATAGTCACTACGTCTTTTATTAGGAGCTGTAGCTTTGTTTACTGGCGTATAATTCTGAACATAAAACACTTCAGTAATTAAAAAAAAAAATTAACAAAACTGAAGATTAATTGTGTATTTGTGCTGCATTCAAGTGTATTTTGAGAACCGTTCCCAGATTCCACTTACAAATATTTGTTTAAATAATATGTACAGAATGTACACAACACATTCATCACAGTGAACTGGAGACACTGACGTTCTTCCTATGAATCTTCACGTCTTCCCTCTAATTATGACAACACAAAGAAAACTTCGCACATTTTTACAATCTGCGTTTGATTTACTGACGCTGTGGCTGCGGGTGTGTGTGTGCCTTCAGAGAGATGCATCTTCTTTTTTTGCATCTATTGTTCTTCACTTGTTAAATATCTGTGATGGCTTTAATGCCCCTTGATATGGGGAAACAGCGCCCCCGTTGGGCAGACATCGGGATTTCATAACAACTGAGTTTTTTAATTAAATATTTTATTTTGTTTCCGAACTCACTTGACACAGTGAAATAAAATGAAAAAAATATATATACTTTTAAGTAACATATATACAGTATATATAATTTACACATGATGTTTGTAAATTTTTCTAAATAAAATTGCACTATCGTGAGATATACAGGGTTTTTTTTAACGCAATTCTCGAATCATATTACTATCAAGTAAATTAATTTAGAGTTCAATCGTTTAAAAAACTATATCTGCGCATCCACAATGGATACGAAGCAAGCTCCTGTCTCTGAGGGTACCGGAGCGAGAAAGAGAGAGAGAGCTAGAGGGAGGGGAGAGAGAGAGAGAGAGAGCGAGAGAGAGAGAGAGAGAGGTGAGGAGCTCAGCTCAGCTCCAGATGGGCTTTAAACGCAGACAGAAGGCTTCATCGAGGACAGAGGGAGAGAGAGGAGGAGGAGAGAGATAGCCTCAGTCGTTACCCACAGTGGCCCGGTCAGTTCCACTCATCACTGGAGACAAGTAGTCTCTGCAAACGTATCATTTTCCTAATCCGCGGGAGGAAAACAACTTGACAGAGGCCCGGCGACAGCGATTTTAACCGAGAAGAGGTGAATACTTCTAAGCTTTCTGGGGGGAAAAAAGGAGGAAAAACAAGAAGAGCGCTCGGCGGAGGATAAGCGCGTCACGGAGACAGAGGAGCAGGATCACAGACACTGTCCGTACAGGCTTTAAAGAAACTAGTCTTTTTGGAGAGAGAGAGAGAAAAGAGGACTTATTAAGGACTTATTTCAGACGCTGCGGTGAAATATATAAGGTTTATTCAAAGTTGTCACGGGCGTAGAGGATTTTGGACAAAATATCGTCCGGTTTACTCCGTTGACTGCCCGTTACTTTAAAAACACGTTGTTTTGTTTTAATTATCGGCTCGGTCGAGCTGACCACAGTGGATTTTAAAGACTGTGACAATTTGTCATCGATTTTTTTTAAGCATCAGCGTGAAAACAACAAAGTGCAGAAAACCAAAGACGTCAATGTTTCAAACACCCCGAACCGCTGCGTAAATTTAACAAGTGGAGCTCTTTCCCCACTCTATAAATACAAAAAGGAAGACATTCTACTTCAATAATTTGGTATTTCCACCTGGAAACTCGAGAGCTTCCGCGAACTCCCAGAGGAAAGATCAGCAATTTCTCCGGTGTCAGCGTTGGCTTCCGTCTCGGACTGTCAGAGACAAAAAGTGTGGAAATAAGAGCCGAGCAGGTTCACGCACTACCAGGCAGAGGCTGAGCCACAGATGATGAAGACTGAGTCGGTATAAAAACTGCCACAGAGACCATTGGCTGTGGATTATCAACGCTACAATTACCTCAAATTGACCTCGACCTTCACAAAGTAAGTGCAGTCTGTTTACACCGCTGTGGTAATAACGCAGGTCCGGTCTTTAGCTGTGTGTCCGTGGACATTTTACACTGACAACAAGAGATTTAACAGAGAACAAATGGATTCAGTTTAAATATAAATATGTTTTCTGGCTTCTCCTGGTTGCGTTGAGATAAAAAAAAACCAAACATTTGAATCCAGTTTTATCCATTTACACGCTGTTTCAATACAGAAGTTTCAAACGAATAAATGAAGTCATTTTCCAGTAAACAAGACATTTATGGAGTCACGTGTCTAAGTACGGTTTATACGTCTAATTATAAACGTTATGCTCCGTCATGTTCTTCGCCCATTAGTGAAATCAATGTAATGATTAGTATAATAATAAATGGCAAAGGCAAACATGGAGCAAGTTTAACACCATGTGGCAGTGTATCAGTTCAAGGCAGTGAGGATGTTGTTAGCTGAACTGATTTCCTGTTTATTTGACTTCAAATAAATACAGAAAAATGTAAAAGAAAAGAGAAAAAAGTAGTCATGATGCAAATGAAGACAGGATGAGAGACGGAGGGGTAATATCTGTCAGTTCTTCAATATCTGAGTTATTGGTGTGAAATCTATTTACCTTGAGTTGAACTTCAGAGACCCATCCTGCCCATACTGGTGCAGATACCAGATATTTACATGTGAGCAACGAAGAAAATATGAAAAGAGATACATAAAAAAAAACGATAGAGAGTTTAATCTGTGGCAAATATTTCAAATAAGTTCAATACGTAAATTTAAACTATATATATATTAAAAATATGATTTGATGTCATATAGTGAACAGAAACTCCTGGAACTGCTGGGACACTCCCTAAGGAAGTTAAAAAAAAAAAAAAAAGGTCCAGCCAGAGGTTTCAGCTTTTACTTGCAGAGCCTCAGTAAGCAGCAGCTGCTCGTGCTCTTCCGCCTGTGAGTGCAACAGTAAAACACTCAGGCCATTTTCTCTGCAGGACGCAGCCCTGTATAATTGGCCCTGGTAAATATCACCTGAATAATTGAACAGTTCATAATAGTCTCCAACAATGGATGTGGGGGTTGCAGAGGTGAAACCGCAGTGCAGACACCCTACCTCACCGCACATTAGACCTCCATCACCACCGAGCGAGCGCCTCAGCCTCTCTCTCCCACCGAACGCTGACCACACCATCGCTCACGGACGCTCGGGCCGACCGCCTCCTCAGGCAGATGTCCCCACTTCATCATTAAGTAGCTCCCTCTATAAAGGCAGGCCATTCATTATGACCGCAGCCTGCTGAGTGTTTATTTCGTTTCCTGTGTACCACAGGTGTGTGGACGTGAGTTTTTCCAAGAGAAGAAATACCACAGGGTAACCTGCTATTTCAGCCTAAACTATCGCCATCTCCTTTGTGGAATGTGGGTTTTTTTGTTGTTATGACTAATGTTTAAAAGCCCAGGTTGCAGCTATCCAATACAACGTATTCAGATGGGAACAAAAACACGTCATGAGTTGGCTGTTAGTCTTGGAGTTTTGCAGCGTAGATGTTCAACTTACAGCATGGACATGTTAATAAGTGATAGTACACGGTGTGTGTGTGTGTGTTTGTGTTCGTCTGTTTTGGCGGTTGTATAGATAGTTTTTGCATCGTTTATTACCGGGAACTAAATGTGAGCCGTGCAGGTGAAACTGGTCGTCTCTTCATTAACAAGTGCAGCAGATGGTCTTAGGTCGGTCAGGTGGTCAACGCAACACGGACACCTGGGCCATCACTAATAAAAGAGGGGAGCAGGTGACGCAGGCTTTAGACATCAGACCTTTGTGTGTATACGCGTGTGGTTTTTAAAATTATTATTGTTGTTGAATATTTAGAAACGTACTAAGAATCAAATGGGTTTTTGTTTTTAAAATTATTATTGTTGTTGTTGTTGAATATTTATAAACGTACTAAGAATCAAATGGGTTTTTTTTTTTAGATCGGATGAGGTCAAAACATTCACTAAAAACCAGTCCTTAAATGGTAAAAGACCAGAGTTCTTAGGTTCTGGTTAAAGTTAAGATGAAGATAAGAGCTGTGGTTCTGGTGCTGAATGAATAATAACTGGGAATTGTTGTGATCTGGCTGCTCACACACACTCAAAAAAGCCATGTATGTAATTACAGAGTCCGGGAAAAAGTTTCACAAATATTTGTGTTTACGTGAGACAAACTCCAAGGAACGTGAAGTTCTTCACAATAAGGACACGACTCTCAATATTTATAAAATATAAAGTATCAAAATACCACGCTATGCATAGTTTGAACTCATTGATGACATTGATGAAGCTTATCCTAAAGACGTTTTATTTACATTTTTTGAATACTTCCAAATAGCAGCTCCAAGAGCAACAGTTGTAACTTCTACCACTTTCTCATCTAGCGAAGAGCACGAAAACATTTTTGTTTTTGTTTTACCAAGTTAAAACCAACTCATAGCAAATGTTGCAGTTTCTTTGTTTCGTCTGAATCTCAGCCACTGCACGAGTGTTTATCCAAATGTACACTATATTGGGAAAGATCACTGTAATTCTGGCAGCCTCCTGCTCATCCCTGTGTGCTGTATTTGGACGTGTGCGTGTGCACGTGTGTGAGTGTGTGTGTGTGTCACGTGTGCGTGTGCACGTGTGTGTGTGTGTGTGTGTGTGTGTGTCTGCTCTGCCCTGGTCTGTTCCACATGTGTTTGACATTACTGTGACAAGGCTGCCAAGCCTCTCTGGGGAGATGGAGAATGTCAAAGAGTGGAGTGGAGAAGCAAACAGCTTCCCAACATCTGATGGAATGAGAAACACACTGAGCGGACGGTTGGTGTGCTGACGCCACAGCGTGGGAGCCGAGCGGAGGGCGGAGGCCAAGTTAAACCCCAAATGTGTGTGTGAAATCTCACTCTTTTCCCCTCATTTTCTAGTTCTCTCCCCTGCTTGTGCGCACATCCTCGAACATTCCCAGGATCACACGCTCTCGTACAGCAGTCATTTCCATCCACTGGAATTATCAAGACTCTTTTCTTTACATTTCCATGCATGCGGCGCAGGTGAAATCTTCCAATTATCTAATCTGTGCCATTCTGAAATGAAAAGACCTCATAATGGCTGGGAAAAAAATAAATAAAATTATTTATTCAACTGACTCTTCGTTCTGCTACAAATTACCTTCAACATGCTGCACTGACAAAATTGCTCCCTCAATTATGCCTTTTAAAAGGGAAGCACATACCTAGCGCAATCGTGAATGCAGTTGTGAGCGAATGTCACAACAGCAGAAAATTAATGCGTACACACAATAACAACAGAAAAATAAACGTTCCCTCCTCCTTCCCTGGTCCCTCGCCTATTTCGCCTCCTGCTCACTCTACCTTCCACTTCCTTACTTGCCCACTGGCCTTTGTCCGTGTCTTGACTCTCTTCTCTCCCATGTCCCATTCTCCCTGTGTCACCTTCTCACCTTCAACCTGCTTTTGTTCATTGTAGGAAGAGTGAGACAGGAAACAGCTGGTCTAATCTGCAGGGGTGCAGAGCTCCGTCTTAATCAAGTCACGCCAATGGATTATCAGTAAAAAAAAAAAAAAGGGAAGTTCATGTTCCCACTGCCACCTAATATAACAAATCACTACCTACAATCCTGCCCTAAAGTCCAATCTTTACGACAGGGTGAGAGAAAAGCACAAAGGAAACCAGCCTGGAGACATTTGTGTCCTTTTTTTTTTTCTCTCCCGACAGACCTCTCTTTAATTCTGTCCTGCTGTAGAGGAGCAAACACAGCCTCGAAATCTGTGAAGGGAGAGAAAAATCACAACACTAACATTCACCCTCTTGCTGTCTGCCTCTGTTTCTGTGTACAGTATTTGTAAAAAAAAAAAAAAAAAAAAATTTAAAAAGCCGTTATCTCCTGGAAACAGATCCTGTGCCACACAGATGGTTCCGTCCCCCTTCGAATAGGAGGCAGAGCCAACAAGTGTGGTTTGTGTTAGCAGTTAGTTGTACAGACTTTAATCTTGGCTCCAGCCTTCCTTCCTTTCCTCCTCTGTCTCTTTCTGCACGGACACACCCACGTACATGCAGACTTACATGTCTGCGCAAACACAAAGAGAACTACAGCTGCACCTTTAAGATAATAACCGAGGATCTTACTTCGACGCTGACATTTAACGTTCTTTGAGGTGACCGGCGAAAGTGGAAACATAAAGGTCGGGCAAGGTTTTTCTTAATGGACACTGGTCATTTGGAGGAGTGACTCATCTCCTGGTTTTCTCAGCGGACTGTGGGGATTGCACATATTTAATGGTTTCCATTACTGGAGAGAAATGAAGTGACGTGGAGCAGTAGTAGTGCTGTACAGTAGTATTTGTATTGCAGTGGATGTAGGGTAAAATCAATCTACTATTGTATATCCTTACTTTTCAGTGAATTGTCACTGCCTGTTTTTTCGGAGGAAAACAGAAGGGGGAATTCCTTCCCACCATGCAAGTGGTCTGGGGTTTGATTCCAGCTCAACTCCCAACAGGGAGAATACCCTCAGGCATTAGTGAATCAGACCTAAAACTAACCCCCAAATCCTCATCTTTGGAATCCCTTTGAAAGGCATGGATTACTTGGTTAGACCAAAGATTGAAAATCCAAACCCATGAATCAATATTTACACGTAGTTACTTTGTTATCCTAATGAGTGCTCCAGGAGTGGAGGCCTCTGTCTTCCTGCAGCGTAACTGCACCACAGTCATCATGGTTCATGCGCTTTGTCCCAGAAAATAGATCACATTTTCTGTTACTGTACACTGCAAGCCAAATATGCACCAAATATGCCGTACTACTGCGGGCAGAAGCACTGTAAAATACTGTACACTGGTATCTTTCTACCACAGAGGTCAGAGCCGTGTCAGGAAAGGACAGCGGGTCATCCTGGTTTGACTATGAATTTAAATATCCATCATATCGGGGATGTTTAAATCCCCCCCCCTCTCTTTCTCTTCGTG